CAATAAAAGCAATTCTCCACCTCTGTCTCACGCATACAGTTAAATCTTCTTTTTTTTTTTGGTCCCATATACAGTTTTCAACACACACACACACACACACACACACACTAACATCAAATTTCGCAAGTTTGTTCATGCACACACACGCACACACAGCTGACTTCTGCACAATGCCGATAGCACAACTCTGTCCTGTCAACACACAGGATAATCAGCTGCTGGGGATTGTGGGTAAGCTGTAATAATCCCTCACATGGAATATGGAAGCATCAGAGAGTTATTCAATAGGACAGAGATAAAGGTGTGTGTGTGTGTGTGTGTTTGCGTGTGTCTGTGTACGCGTTTGTGTGAGGCTTTTCCATCTTTAATATGCAGCCTCACCTGAAGCTGACTGTCAGTCAGAATAATTGAAAAGAAGAAAAAAAAAAGTCCCAAACACCACTATGTGTGCATCGGGACCTAACATCAACACACACCCATGCCAGAGAGGCTGCTCCTGTAATGTTCCCTGCAGGAGCGAGCCAGTCTACAAACTACATCCTGATAACGCCTAATTTAGTCAGACAAACTGCAAACAACACAGTGTTCTATTTTCCTGTCAAGAAAACAAAATCCAAGCCACAATCAAATTACGATTAATTCATTTTCTTTTCCCCGTTTTGTATCTGTCAAGAAGTTGAATGAGGAGTGAATGTTGTTGTTGTTTATATTCATTTATTTCCCTGCGTGATTTTTCTCGGTGATTTATGATTGTACAAACATGCTGCTTTTGGAGTGACTCAGATCAAGGAGCAATCGTTGTCTTTCTGGCAGTCCCTATGTGCACATCTGCTAACAACACTTGCTGTATAACGTTTCTCCAAAGCAAAGGTCACGCATCAGAGTGAATGTGCTCATCACTCCAGTAGTCCAACTGTAATGGATTGCATTTTTATGTGGCTTATCAACCACTCAAAGCGCATTCCAAGAGACATTTGCTAATTTGCACTCTGCCTATTGTACTGCAGCGTTTACATTTACATTTATAGCCTCACATTACTATGTTATACCAGCCTAGATTTAATGTTTAGTATCTTGTCCAATCCATTGACCTACTGAACTGTGGAGGATCCACTCAACTTCCCAGCCGTTGACTTTTATGGACTTGATTTATGACTTTTGCTTACCATGGCAAGAATATAATTGTATTTAAATCACAAGTAATTATAGTGGCTGAGCCATCTGTTGGTAATGTAATGTGGGTTTAAGTTGATTTTAAGTTGAGATTCTCATCCATTCTGAAATGCATAAAGACACTTTTCTTTTAAGTGCCTTAAAAATGTTTTTGCCGTGTTTTTGTTATAACCGCATCAATCAAAAGATAAACCCTCTCTGTTGTGGTCCATCCTTATCTTGTGCTGGTGTTTAGACCAGAATAGTCTTTCAAAAACAGGTTGGGTTAATGTAATACTAAGACCAAGAATAATAATTTAATTTTTCATATTTTAGGTCTTCAGTCAGACTAATCAGTCAGGAGTCTAGAAATACTGTATTATTTTATTTAATGAGTTCTCAGTTACAGGTGCTGTCACAGTGCCAGCTAAGATAAACCATACATTCTTGGACACTCAACTTTTATCACTTATGTTTGAATGTTTTCATCAAGTATCTTGTAATAAAAATGTTATTAACCACTTAGCATTCAAATATAAGTTTTTTAATAAAATACCAAGCTGAGAGCTGTGGGTGTAACTCCATTCCGCCTGAATCTCTTATTCTTAAAATTGACCCTCTTTGTTTTCTAAAAAGTTTAGCAGATTATTCAAAGAAAAGCAGTGACACTGTTTAGTCATTTTAACCTGTAGTGGTACAAAAACCATATCCATGAAATATATGTTATTCTAAGTTTTACTATACCCAAAGCTGACTAGTCATCTTTACATTTCGACACCACTGTGAAAATTCTTCCCAGATCTTAAACTCTAAAACTCTGCGAGCCAAACGGTGAGAGGCAGAGACATACGCTATCGGCCTGTGTAAACCTTTAGTGCAAAACTGAGCCAGGGCCCCGAAGAGGAATCCGAAACAATCACACAAGTCCTGCATCAGATGAAGCCTTGTTTTCAGTATCATGGTGTTTTTCTGAAAAGAAGGAATACGTTTCATCAACAGAACCGTGGTACCACCTCCTTATCTTACACAGTTTTAGTGGAATTGATTCTAAAATTGCAGAGCTGTTTTCAGACACACACAGCGCCCAGACTGAAAGCTCATCATGTATTGATCATAGAGTCGATAGCTATAAACTAGGGCCTGCTGATTAGAGGCATTGATTATATTCACAATGAATCACTCAAAACTGATGCCAGTCACATGCAACCGAACACACTCTAGACTGCTACATTTAGGGTTGAAAATAGTGTGCAAAGAAGAAACTTTCTCATCAATCATCATGATACAAAGGAAATTAAAACTCCTTATCAGTCTCTGGGTCATACTAATCCTCAACCATTATTCTTTATAGCCCCTGGCTTTAAGACTACACGTACACACACCGAGGGCAACACAATATTTTACACAATTACACTGCAGGAAAGTGCTGAAACTGAGCACAGATCCTAAATGATGTTGCTTCTCCCATGAGTGTAGATTTTTAAGGATTTTAATCGGTTAAATATGTGCGTGGGTACGTGTCTAATCTGCTGGTTAATCTCACTAACACTTTTTATGGGATTGCTAGCTGCTGCAAGGATTACCACACCACAGATCACACCCTGATTTCCATAATCCTCCTCTTCTGATAAAACTGTTTGTCCCCTAGCTCATTCCTTTGTCACACTGTAAAACATTGTCTGTTCGATTAATCAGTTTCTGTGTAAGCTCACTGTGAAGGTGTTTTATTCCTTCAGTCAGACAAATGTCTCATTCTGATATTAAAATTCAAACTGTAAGTGATGAGTACACGAGTTTGAATAAACTATATTTTTATTATTTGACTGCTGTTTTTTAATCAGAGTAAAATTTTAAGATGAAAAGGAAGTCAGCGTGTTTTAATGAGAGAACAGATATTGGTTCTAAGGCACAATCAGTCACTGTCTATCTCCACAGTGTTGAGTTCATCTTTATTATCACCAACGCTTCTGTTTCTGAACTGATATATTTCCCAGATTGTACCTGTAAACACTAAGTGCTACATATGGATTTTCCAATCGCTATTTATTCACATCCATCCATTTTCTGGACCGCTTATTCCTAAATGGGGTCGTGGGGGGGAGTGGAGCCTATCCCAATAGTCAATGGGCAAGAGGTGGTATACACCCTGGATGGTCCATTGCAGGGCCACACATATATACACATATAGACGGACAACCATGCACACACACCTAGAGCAATTTGGAACGTCCAGTCAACCTAACATGGAGCTTTTTGGATGGCTAGCAAATGCACATCTGTAAACTTTGTGTGCTGAGATACAACATGGACTCAAAACAATGTTTTGGTCGCGCACCACCCTCTGCATCAGTAAATAATAATGTAGAGATTCAACCTCCATTTTGTTTCATGATAACTATGAGGCTGAGAGATACTGTAAAAATATGCAAACTTTATTTTATTCTTGGAAAAAATGTCATTTTATATGTGATGTGTATACATGTGTGTTTGAGCCACCATATTTGCCAGTGTGATTTTCTTTTTTATCTCCTGCAGTCTCCCTCCACTAGTCTCCATTTTCTGCTCCGAGGGTCCAGAGAATCCCCTTATTTGGAGAGAAGCTGTGATAAAGTAAGCAGGAAGAAGGAGAAGGAGGAGAGGGAGGAAAAAATGAGAAAAAGGGAAAATGAGAAAGAGGAGAGGAGCGAATGTTGGGGAGAGGATGCTGAAGGTGTCCCACACATTTGCTACACCTCTTTCTAGTAGAGTCACTGCTGGGTTGTCAATGGGAGAGAGGTGGGGTACACTCAGATCGCACCACACAGATAAACAACCACACACACACACTCCTACAGGAAATTAAGAATAATCAATTAACCCAACACGCATGTTTTTGGATGGTGGGAGGAAACCCGAGTACACTGAGAGAACCTACACATATACAGGGAGAACGTGCACATAGAAAGGTCTCCGGTCTGGGAACTCTGGTATTGGGGAAGTGTCTTCTAAACCATCCCGCCACTGCAGCCCACGCTAAAGGTGAAGGACTGAAAATGAACCTTGGAGCTGACTGCAGCTGAAGGGCGCAGAGGACTGCAGAAAGGCTTTCAGGCAGAGCAGGAGAGATGGAAAGAGTGTGTGGATCAGCAGGGGGAAGTGCAGGCATTCTGTTATGATGCTGGTTGAAATGGAGGTTTAACTGTATTACACTCTGGCAGCTCCATCTCCATCACTTTGCGGATGGGTGTGTGACTTTGTGTATTTACTTGGAGACCCTGTATGTATATGTGCGAGCATGTGCAAAAAGTGTGTGTGTTTGTAACACACCCACGGGGGCTTTACTCTGTCAGTGCTCAGTGATAATCAGCCTCTATCTCTCTCCTGATCCATCTCCACCTCTATCCCTCCCCTGCCACTATCACTCACCCTCTCCACCATTTTTCACTCCCCCTCCTCCCACTCTGCACAAACACACACAAGCATATGTGGTGTAGACCCTCGT